GTGCCCAGATTTGATCCCTGGCACCACATTGCCCTCCAAGTCCCAAGCACTGAACTGGGAGTAGCCCCTGAGTACCACCAAAGGTAGTCCCAAAACAACAAAAATTTTTTAAAAATGTAAGAACCCCAAAACACCAGTATTATGGGTGGCCAGAGAGATAGTTTAGGGGAATGCCTTGTATAAGACTGGCCCTGGTTTTGTTCAAACCCCACATAGTACCCCAAGCATTACCTATTGGCTTTTAGCAATGCTGTGTTTGTCCCTGAAGGCCCCGGAGCACTCTTAAGTTGCCCAGGTAATCCTCAGCATCTGAGGCCTTCACAGAGGCAGAGAATCACTGGTTAGAAGCCCCTGGGTTTCCTGAGCACGGCTTGGAGGTCCAAAGTTTAAAAACAAGTTTTTAAACAAAATCTTCATTTAGGATCTAGAGAGATATTTCTGGGGTTAAAGAACTTGCTTTGCACAGTCTGATCTCCCACACCACACATTGTTCCCCGAGTACCTCCAGGAGTGATCTCTGAGCAGAGCCAGGCATGATCACTGAGTTACAGAGGTCAGAGAAATTGTGCAGCGGGCAGGACACTTGCCTTGTTTGTAACCAACGTGGATTCGATCCTTGGCAGCCCTGTGGTCCACCAAACTCTGCCAGGAGTGATTCCTTAGTACAGAGCCAGGAGTAAGTCCTGAGCACCATCGGGCGTTGCCCAAAATCCAAAATAATAAAGGTACAGAATGTGAAAATAAAGTGATACGTATCATTTGACTAATGAAAACACTGATATTTAGATCTTGCATTAGTTAAAAAGTTTAGAGAATAAAATGTGAGACTACTGGCACTCTTTTCCTAAAAGAATAAAATGTGAAGGGCTAAAGTAATAGTGCAGACCCATGTGGGTAGGGCATTTGCCTTATACATGACCAAGGTTTGATCTCCAATACCCAATATAGTCCCCTAAGCCTGCCAGGAGTGATCCCTGAGCACAGCCATTACTAATCCCTGAGCACCACTGTGTGTGGCCCCCCCAAAACAAAACAAAAAGAATAAAATGTAAGACACAAGCCAGAGATATAGTACAGTGAGTTAGGCGCTTGCCCTACACATGGCCAATGGGGGTTTGACCCCTGGTACCCCATTTTGTCCCCCAAGCCTAGTAGGGGTGATCTATGAGTGTAGAGCAAGGAGTAATTCCTGAGCACAGTGAGGTGTGTCCCAGAACCACTAAATAAAATCAATGTGAGACAGCTGACAAAATATTTTTTGTAGTGACAGTGGCTATTCCCTACTGTGCTCAGGGATCATTCTTGTCCTATCTCTCTGGCCCCTACAGCCACTTTTTACCTTCTGTGAAGCAGTAAACGCACTCTCTGATTTCTACTTTTGAAGCAACAAACAAGCTGTTTTGTTCTGGCAGATGATTAGTTTAATTCATTTGCCCATTTTATTTTTTTGTTTTATGTGTTTGGACCACACATTGTGGTGCTCACTCCTGACTCTGTGCTCTATTATTACTCCTTATAGAGTGCCAGGGGTCAAACCAGGGTTGGCTGTACAGAAGGCAAGTGCCTTAAATCACTCTCTCTCCAGCCCTTTTTTATTCTTTTAAAGACTTGGGGCCAGAGCAGTAGTACAGTGGGAAGGGCATTTACCTTGCATGTGGCTGACCTGGGTTCGATGCCAGCATCCCATATGGTCCCCCAAGCATCTTCAGGAGTAATTCATGAGTGCAGTCAGGAGTAGGTCCTGAGCATTGCCCGGTGTGACCCAAAAGAAAAAAAAAAGACTTTATAGTCTATTTGTATTAAATGTTTAATTGTTGTTTAATTGTTGTAGGACAATGGTTATTCATTCTAAGGCATTTTCTTTTCTCAGTTTGAAATAAAGCATTGATATTTTCAGTGAAATATATCTTAGTGTTTAAATGACATTATTGAATTACGTTACAAAATGTCAAAGTGTTAAGTCAGAATTTTGTTTTCCTCATTCTTTGAGGTTTGGTATTCATGAATGTATGAAAGTACCGAATGTTTACTTTGAAGATCTGCACATCAGCTGGATTCATTTAAATGTGAACATCCAAATAATTCACCAGCATCATCTAAATACTTTAAATTATGACTCCAGCACTAGCCTTGATTAAGAATTATAACCATTTTTTGAATTATTTAGGTGGTTTTCTTTGTCATGAGAGAACTGCTACTTCTTGTTTGTTTCTTTGGGGCTTCCCAAGCAGTTGGTGCTCAGGGTCAGAGGACCATGCCATGAGAAAATGCTGAACATGCTGTAAATCATCTCCAGCGTGCAGGAGAGAAAAGCTTACAGAGTGACACTCCTTCAGATGGAAGCACACTGAAAGTACCCTGAATCCAAAAACTATTTCAGCAAACAAATTTTGGATTAGAAAAGCGAAAGAATGACTGGGGCCAGAGAGACTGTACAGGGATTAAAGTGTATCTGTACAGAGTGCAGATTGCCTTGCACTCTGCTGTCCCTGGTTTCATACTTAACACAATGTGGTTTCCTGAGCATGGTGGGGTATGGCCCACGATCTGCCTCTCCTTCCCCCCAAACAAAGAAGTGGCTGGAAATTTTGATCAGAAGATGTCCATCAAGTTAGTTATATTGATTGTCACTATAGAAGGGGTTGTTTTTTTAAAGGAGGCTTTTGTGAAGTCATAATGAATATGAGATTCTCATAGTCACTTGCTTGACTAAGTGCACATCAGTGGAGTTTTAAACTCACAATGTGAAATGAACATTTATCAACACAAAAGGAAATGTGTGGTTAAACGGTTTTAGCTATAACTGTAGACTATTTCCCTTAGTCCAAATGGGACGAGAAATGGAACCTTATATTTTGAACTTTTTTCCCAGTGCAGGTGGATTTTGGTTGAATTTAGTTCTTTATGATTTAATTAGAAAGCTAATTGTGCAGTAATAGAGGAAGTAGTAAATATTAAAAAGTCAGGAATTTTTCAGGCATTAGTTTACAGATTCTTAGTATTTTTCTTGACTGCTTATAGTAAGAATAGTTAATTCTTTTTTCCTTTTTCTTTCTTTCTTTTTTTTTTTTTTTGGCCACACCTTATTATTCTCCAGGCTAACTCCTGGCTTTTTATTCAGGGATTGATAGTCGTGGTGGGCTTGGGGAACACTATGAGGTGCCGGGGATTGAATCCAGGTCTCCCAGTGCAGGACGAGCGCCCTGCTCACTGTACTCTCTTCAGTCCCTAAGTCAGTTCTTTATCTTTTTAAAAGCAAGAATACCCCCAACATTCTTTGTGGAGGAAACTATTGGATTGAGTAAAGTAAAAGGTGATGCAGGATCAGAGTGATAGTACAGCAGGTAGGTTGTTTGTCTTGCACATGGCCTTGCACTCACCCTTGCTCAATCCCTGTCATTCCATATGGTCCCCCTAGCCCCACCAGGAGTGATTCTGAGCATTGAGCCAGAAGTAACCCCTGAGCATCACTATTGTAACCCAAAAAACCTAAAAAGTGATACTTTCAATTTTTCCCTCAAAAAAGGAAGCTATTTTACAAACTTTATAATAGTGCTAATTTTAGTTCACAAAAGGACTGGAATTATCCAGAGAAAATATATTAGGTGTACACAAATGAAGAAGCTCATTTATAAAGATGAGCCTGAATTTTGGTAGCCTGGATTTTTGAAAACATTGTCTTTTACTACATTAGAATAAATATATATTCAGCACAGGGACCAGAGAGAGAGCTCAAAGAAGTTGATGAATGTCTGAAGTTTATTTATTTTTTTAATTTAATTGTTTATTTTTTGCATTTTGGGTCACACCCTAGTGATGCTTAGGCGTTACTCCTGCTCTGCACTCAGGAATTATTCCTACCAGTGCTTGGGGGACCATATGAAATGCTGGGGATTGAACCTGGGTCTGCTGCATGCAAGCAAATGCCCTCCAAGATGGACTATCACTCTGGCCCCCCAAGAGGCTGAAGTGTAATTCCCAGGACTGAAAGGTTCCCTGTGCACTGCTGAGAGCTCCAATCTCTTCCCTCCTTGCACCCCAGCATGGAACCATGAGTAAGGCACTGAGCCACTGCCAGATGCGGCCTCAAAATAGAAACAAAATCTTGTTCAGGCAGTAAATGGTAAAAATCTAAGCTCATTTATATTCAGAAGCCCACAAAAATTAAAGTAGAAAAGTCTGAAACAACTTTTTATTTTCATGCACTATCGTGTTTATTATAGCACTATTTACAAAATAGCCAAGAATTAGAACTACTGACAAAAGTTCTTTAAGAAGATGTGTATGTATACATTGGAGTAATTGTTGTTATTGTTATTATAGTTGATGTTACAAAGGTGTCAACATTTATTCATTTAGTGTACAGACTTACTGTGCCTTCATCACCTCTAAACTGCCAAAGGCCCTCTACCACTGTCCTTGTGTCACTTGTAGTCTGCTTCCCACCCACCCCACCATCCCACCCTCCACCACCTGCCAGCCTCGCCTCCCACTACAACTAGGTAACTTTACAAAGTCCTAGGATTTGCCATCACTCAGAATTTCCTTGTTTTGTTTCTTCTTTTGTTTCTTCACAAATGAGTAAGATTATCTGGTATTTTTCCTTTTCTCTCTGCCTTCTAGTTTTTCATCATATATATCTTTCCAAGAAATGAAAAAAAAAAAAAGAAGACAAAGCACTTGACAGGTCCTGACTTCTGGAAAAACTGTTACTTCAAGAATAAGAATTTACAACAAACAGATTTTACAGATTTTATTTTAAAAATAATCTGAAAGAATTGCAACTAGAAATAATATCCTCGTAAACCATTGATCTTAGCTTAGAAAATATGGTCAGAGGTATAAGGTTCATGTGTTTTCTTATGTTCCTAAATTTTGTAATTATATTAACTCCCTTTTTTTTTTAATAAGAAAGCCACAGGTTTCCTTAATAAGCCTATCCTTTGCTATTACATCTGATAACTTAGCATTGGTGTTTTTCCTTCTTTTATGTATCTTAGGTATATTTGAAGGCTCCCATGATTCTGAATGGAGTTTGTGTTATCTGGAAAGGCTGGATTGATCTCCAGAGACTGGATGGTATGGGTTGCCTGGAGTTTGATGAAGAGCGAGCCCAGGTAGGGAATCATCAGACTTCACTGAGTGTCCTTTACTTACTCCTAATCTTGCAGTTGTCTAGGGTCTATTTACTGAGTTTCTAATAGGATGTTGAGACCCAGCCAAGTTCCATTTCTGGTTTAGGTATTTTTTCTCCAGTGGTTCTAAATTTTGTTGGGTTACCCGTATCTGCTCAGTGGGAGATGTCAAAGTATAGTAAACGACTCCGTTTTATATTTGTTCTTTATCTTTAGAACATCATGAGGAAACAATTTCAAATAAATATAGTAATAGCACTCAGAGAGTGACCAAGTAAAGACTCTGGCAAATCCTTTCCTTAAAAAGCAGTGATTGGAGCCAGGGAAATGGCTTAAAAGACTGAAGCCCATGCTTTGCATACAGGAGCCCCTGGTGCCACAACATGGTTCCTCAGTACCACCTGACATGGCCCAAGCAACACTGAGTGTGGACTCACTCCCCCCACCACCAAGTGTTCAAACAGAAAAAAATTATTTTTAAAATATTCGTTTTCAGGGCCAGGAATAGCTTCAGTAGTGGAGCATATGCCTACCTGCCTCAGTCCCACATACCCCTTCACCACAGCATCATCAGATATGGGCCTGGTGGCCCCTGCACATCATTGGTTATGGACTCCATATCTGTAGATAATTCATTTAAGTTCTAGAAATTAATCAAAGACTATAAATTCAGAGGCACTGTAGCACTGTCCTCCTGCTGTTCATTGATTTGCTCGAGCAAGCCCAGTAACGTCTCTATCATGAGACTTGTTGCTGTTTTTGGCATATCGAATATGTCACGGGTAGCTTGCCAGACTTTGCCGTGCGGATGAGATACTCTCGGTGGCTTGCCAGGCTCTCTGAGAGGGGCGGATGAATCGAACCTGGGTCAGCCAGGTCAGCTGCATGCAAGGCAAACGCCCTACCCGCTGTGCTATCGCTCCAGCCCAAATTTAGAGGCACTAGTTAAAAACAAGATTAGAATTTTTTTTTCCTTTTTTCTTTTTTTTTTTAATAAAAAAGGACTGAAATTTCAATTAAGAACAGTTAGTGTAAACATTTCAGTCAGAAACTGGTTCCATCTCTTCCCTTAGCTCTCTGTTGCCTCATGTACTATCCTGGGCAGGCCATGAGGACTGGCCTCTCTGTTTTCTTATCCGAGAGAGCTGTCTTTATTCACAGCAGTGCTTGGGGGGAAAGTATGCCAAGGAAAACAGTGGAGAGCACAGTAGCAAACAGTCTAAGAAAACTAATATTTCACAAAGCCACAAAATAATGGACTAGGCAGAAATGTATGAAGGAAATTTAGGGAAACTGCTCACACTTAACCTTCATTTTTTTGTATGTGCAAGGCCTCTTTTTTTCCTTGGTTTTTGGGCCACGTTCAGTGATGCTTAGGAATTACTCGTGGCTCTGTGCTCAGGAATCACTCCTGACAGACGTGGGGCACCGGGGATTGAACGCAAGTCATCCACAATGCAAGTCAAATACCCTACCTGCTGTACTGTAACGCCAGCCCTGTGTAGGGCTTCTTTACCTTGCTCTCGGGAGCAAATAGAGTATCCTGAAAGTCTTTGACTCAAGCAAGGGAGCACGGGGTGGGGGTAGGGGAATGGACACACAACAGAATGATCCCAAATTACCTCCAGATTCAGTAACAAATGATGGAAACCAACTGGATTAAGACATTTAAGAAAAATCTATGATTACTTGTTAGCTGGCCACTAAGTTATGCCAGTCCAGGAACAGACAGGTCACTAAATCGACAAAAAGCAGCAAGGCGGAGGCTTGCAGAATTTAGAGTTGCTGTGGTCTATTGTCTGAAATGTCTGGTTTTCAACAAAAATTATGAAACAAGCATAGAAACACAAAATGTAATTCATGTTCAAGAAGGAAAGCAGGCACTAGAGTCTGAGGAGCCCATATGTTGGTTTTTGGTGGCAGTGACTGAAGCAGGTATTGTCAATATTTTCAAGGACTAAAGTTCCTTAAAGAATTTGAGTCAGGGATTTAGTACAGGGGCTGACCCAGATTTGACCCCAACACCGCATGGTCTCTCAGCGTCACTGGCTATAGCCCTGGAGACCCCAAGCACCAATAGGGTCGCCCTGGTAGACCCCAGCACCATAGGGCTTGAGCAGCGCCTTATCCTAAGACCCTTGGACTGAACCAATAGCTCAGTTGACTATAGATTACTGGAAGTAGGGGGTGGAGCAATAGTACAGCACATAGGGCATTTACCTTGGATGTGGTGACCCAGGTTCAGTCCCCACCATCTGAGTACCACCAGTTCTTCCTGAGTACCACCGGGTATGGCACAAAACCCAAAAATAAATTGCTAGATGTAGTTCCCTGAGCACTATTAGGACCCCCTTCCCCAGAGTGGAAGGGAAATTGTTGGCTGATACTCTGAATAGAGAATATCAGTAAAAAAAATATAAAATATAAATCCAAGAATTGAAAATACCGTATCTGAAGGGCAGAATTCACAGGTTCAGCAGTATATGTGAGTTGGCAAAAGAATTAGTGAATTTGAAAGTCGGTTCACAGAGATTATTCAGTCTAAAGAGCAGAAAGAAAAAATAAAAATGAACAGTCATTGGGAGCTGAAGTGATAGTACAGCAGTGAGGGTGCCTTTCTTGAATGCAGCTCATCAAGATCCCTGGCACCTCATACATAATGGTCCCCAAGGAGTCCGCCAAGAGTCATCCCTGAGCTCAAAAGCTGGAGTAAGCCCTGAGCATTATCAGGAGTTACTCATGGGTGAGCTTGGGGAGGACCTTGTCATGCTAGGAATCCAGTCCAGCCTCTGCATGCGTGCAAAGTATATGCTTCAGTTCTTTGAACTGTCTCCCAGGGCCAGCTTTGCTTTTTGTTTGTGCATAAGAATGTTAAAGAGCCATTTAAATGAAAAGTTATATTTTACAGAGTGATGTTAAATGTACCATTTGCAGCTGCAGACATTAGTTGCCTTTGAAGTATGTTGATGCTTCTTCAGCAGATTTATTTCTTCTGATTTTCAAGTGATCAGTGATACCATTCTGGTTCCTACAGAGAATAGAAAATGTGCAAATTACATGTTCACCATCAATCTACTTGGAAATGAATTTGATATCTTAATTTCTTTTTTATTAAACGTGCATTTCCATTTCTTAAATTCATTGCTGCACAGAGGTAAGTATTACACTACAAAATAAAGTTGGGGGTTTAGGCAATACAATCAAGACAAATTGATTGCGTTAAGAGTGGTCACAATATTTTATACACACACATAGACACACACCCTAATATCTCTTATTAGGCCTTTATTTCCCATGTGAGAACCTCCTCTTAAGGTGACCTCACCCCCACAGTCCAACTACTTTGTGCAGATTGTGGTCTGTATCAGGGTAACAGACTAGTATATCAAGCAGCTGACAGGAACCAGAATGTTGAAAGCCTCTCTCAGTACTACCTGAGACAAAGTAGACTTAGCTGTCCCTGACCATTTGAGTAGACTTTATAAGTAAGCATGCAGTTTATCAGCAAGTGCCCTTTATGCTGGCCTTGAAAGACAGGTGTTACTGAAGGTTGCAACAGAAAGGATCAGATTAACACTGTTTATAAGCTTAAAGTACAAACTGTTTACATACATTTCATGTTTCACTGGAAAAGACCAATATAGAAACTGGAATTAGAAAGTAAAGGACAGCCAAAGTGCCCCTAACCTATTCTACTATAATGTAATAATAATATATTTTATCTTTTAATAAAAAAATTTGTAACCACTGCTAGGATTTGTATTTGTAGCTAATATTTCCTTAGGGAATAAGATCACATCTCATGTGCACTCATTTCATCATGTAATTTTACTTTCCTATACCTGAAAACAGTTGATACTTATATACTGATTTTTGTATTATTTGTATATTGTCCACCTGCCCCACCATACCGGAGCACCATATTTTCCTCACATTGTGTCCATGGCTTTGTTATGCTCAAGTACAGTGACACGCATACCAGAGATAGATTATTTGTGGCTTAGATGAAAAAATTGGGTGACATAAAGGACAGACGTATATTTATAGAAATATATACCAAATATTTTTGTCTTGTACTTATGTTTTTGGGGGGGTTTGTTTGGTTTTGGGGTTTATTCCTAGCTCTGCACTCAGGGATCTCTCCTGGCTCAGGGAACTATATAGGGTTGGGTTGGCTGCAAACAAGGTCATCCTACCACTATACTATTGCTCCAATCCTCTCCAGAATTTTTTTGGGAGGGGGAGATGGAGGGGAGCTACACCCAGCAGTGCTGAGGTATCACTCTTAGTGGGGCTCAGCAGATGATGTGAGCCAGGGATTGAATTCAGTTGGCCCCAGGCAGGACAAGAGACTTATCTGCTGTATTGTCTCTCTAGCCTCAGACTTTTCTGTTCGTTTATTTTGTTTTGGGCCACAATAGCAAATATTCCTGGCTTATTGCTGCCTCATGCTCACATATGACTCCTGGAGGTGTTTGGGGACCGTAAGAGCAATATCTTGATCAATTATTGATCAGTTATTATTTCCAAGTTGTAATATGAAATAGGGGGAGGAAAATGAAGGTGTTTTGGGGTTTTTTTTGTTTTTGTTTTTGTTTTTGTTTTGCTTTTTGGGTCATACCCGGCAACAATGCACAGGGGTTACTCCTGGCTCATGCACTCAGGAATTACCCCTGGTGGTGCCCAGGAGACCATATGGGATGCTGGGAATCGAACCCGGGTCAGCCGCGTGCAAGGCAAACACCCAACCCACTGTGCTATCACTCTAGCCCCTGTTTGTGTGTTTTTATCTAGCTCAGACAGGAGCTGGGAATGTTGTTCAAAGTGTTAGAATACATGCCTGCCATGTGTAAGGTCCAGAATTTGATTCACATGGTACATGGCCTCTTAAACTCCCTGACATAGGAAATGTAGCTCTAAAATTAACTTTAACTTAGTTTTGATGTTTTGAGAAATGCTCTGCTATTTATTTCTTATTTTAAAGAAACACATGTAGGAACTGGAGAGATAGAATGGTGGGCGGGGTGCTTGCTTCTTATGCAGCCAATTCAGGTTTGATCCGTCGCATCCCGTATGGTCACCTGAACCCACCAAGAGTAATTCCTGAACGGGGTTGGAGTGATAGCACAGTGGGTAGGGTAGGGTAGAGTAGGGTAAGGTAGGGTAGGGCATTTGCCTTGCATGTGGCCAACCTGGGTTCGATCCCCAGTATCCCATATGGTCCCCCAAGCACTGCCAGGAGTAATTGCTGAGTGTAGAACCAGGAATAACCCCTGAGCATTGCTGGGTGTGACCCTAAAAGCAAAAACAAAATGAGTAATTCCTGAACAAAATAAATTTAAAATGTATGTATGTATATGTATGTATATTTCCTCAATACCTCAGTGACCAAGCAATACTGCATCCTCAGATCCTAGTGTCAGCTGTCTGGCCCTGTTGACCAAGAATTGCTACAAGAGGCCCCCAGGCTCTTAGAGCACCACTAGGAGGCAAAAAAATATATGTGTGTGTTTGTGTGTGTGTACGTGTACACTTGCCCACGCACCAAGTATGTGAAATCTCAGTCATTACAACACAGCAACAAAGGAGGGCTCAAGAGGGGGGGATGATGACGACACTCACAAAATGTTTATTGTAAATAAAAATTAAATTATCTGTTTTATGTGTTTATAACAGCAGGAGGATGCATTAGCACAACAAGCCTTTGATGAGGCTCGGAGAAGGACACGTGAATTTGAAGACAGAGACAGGTCTCATCGTGAGGAAATGGAGGTGAGAGTTTCACAGCTGCTGGCAGTAACTGGTTAGTACTTTCCCCCAACTCTCAGGCTCTGTTTGTGATGTTATTGCATGATGTATTTGAATAATTTAATTTTTGTCTTTTATTTTTAATTAAGTTGTGTTCTGTGACTATGTTTGTTAAATGTAATTGCTATGAATTTCTCATTGAATGCTATAAAAATATTTTACCATAGCAGCTATGTGTTAATTCAGTGAGCAAAATACCTCACCTTTTTTTCTTAATTATTTTTCTAGATTATTTGTAAAAATTACCTGATCTGAACATAGATGCCAATATTTAGAATGTTATGAAAAACTCTTGAGAATTATCTTTAATTTTTTTCTCATTCCCTTTGATTTTTTTAGTCATGTGTGTTTTCTTTGATAGAAGAAAAATTAATTTTCTTCAAACTACACAAAGAGTGGAATTAGCCTACCAAGACTTTTTCTTTAACCTTTTTTTCCATTTTGGGCCACATTGGTGCTCAGGAACTGAGATTGTTGAGGGCCAAAGAGATAATACAGCGGGTAAGGCACTTGCCTTGTTCATGCCTGACCTGGGATCCCATATAGTTCTCTGAGCACCACCAGAAGTATTCCCGAGTGCACAAACGGGAGTAACCACTGAGTATCACCAGATTTGACCCAAAAACAAAAAGAGAGTTTGGGGGTCACTTCCTAGAAATGCACAGGCAGTGTTAGGGATCAGATCCAGGACTCCCAACATTCAAGCTATGTGCTTTAGCCCTTTATCCCATCCCTTTAACTTTTTCATTGTAAAATAAAATACAAAAATTTACAAAGAAGAAATCTGTAGCTTGACAGTTATAAGACTGAGATACTTATAACTGAAGAGTGCAACACTCTGAGCATGTGCTAAGCCCTTGGTTCAACCTTGGTTTCCTCCAAGGACAGAGCCAGGAATAATAGCACCCTAACACAGCGGTGTGAATCCAGAAACTTTTAAAAAGAATTGGTTTAGAGCTAGATAACAAAATCTGAATCATACTATTTAGGTGCGCAATATTATTCTATAAGATTAGGAGTATGTACATAGAGTTCCATTAGTTTAGTTTTGTTTTGTTTTTTACATGCATTGTTTTATTTATTTTTGGGTTTTTTACCTGGCAATGCTCAGGCCTTACTCCTGGCTCTTTAGTCACTCCGGAATTACATCTGGCAGGTTTCAGGGGATCATTTATGGTGCTGGGAATTGAACCTGGGTCGCTGTATAAACAGGGCAAATGACCTATCCACTGTACTCTCTTCAGCCTCTCAGATAGATTGTTTTCAGTCACTTTTATGTCAGTGATTTGAGAGCAGGAACTTTGTATCTTGCCTCGTTGAGATTCTTGCTTCATTACTCATTCTCTCTGAATCCCATTTTCTCTTGAAAATTATGAGAATTAAATTGGAAAATACTTATAACACTTAGTATGATGCTTGGTATGTGAATGCCTATAATAAATAATAGCTCTAAAGTGCTTCTTTAGCACTAAAAGCTCTACCACTGGGCTGGTTCCCGTTAATTGACTTATCAGGCTAACAAGAATATCCTTTTATTTCTCTAAAGTATATCAGGGCACTTTCCCTGCATTATAGCCTAGAGCATGGAAAAATGGTTAGATTTTCATGAATGATTTAAGATCTATGGTTCCTTATGACAGTCATTTAAAAGAGCATTTCTTGTATAGAACTGTCATCTGGAAAATTGGATCAGAATCTGACTCCAGAGTTTGTTCTGGCAGTCACCCATGGGAGTTTTAGGTATTTAGAAATTATTTTAACTTCCCTTAAAAAAGTTATAACAGATGACTGTCAGCTTATTTTCATAATATGCTTCTTTTTTCCTAAAGAACATTAGAGAAACATTTTACTCCTATAATTTAAACATCTGTAGAGAGTCATACATCTTAAAATATGACATTCTTATTACAGTGGAGGTAATGTCAACTGAAAAAAATCAGTTGATTTGCTGTCTTTCAAATAGTTAATGAAATGAAGAGTGAATTCTTAAACTCCTTTTCCAACAAAGAGGTCTTCACAAATAATGCCTAACACTAGGAAGTGAATTTTCTCATCACCCATAAAGATGATTAAGTTAAAAAATAACTGATGTCAGGAGAGGTTAGAAGTTCTTTTGCCTGGAAAAGAAAATGCTGAGACAGAGAATAATAATTCTGGCTTTAGTAGGTGGTCTTGCTGAGACAGCCAAAGGAGCAGTGGTAACTTATGGGTGGCAGTAACCCAGTAAATGGTCTTTGAAAACTTCGGATCTTGGCAGCATAGAATTTAGGGTTGGTCCATTTCTGTTTGAGCAACCTCTTATGTTCTGTAGACTTGACATGTTAAACTGCCATAAGATGGTCCTTAGCATTGAACATATCTGTAAAGTTAAGCTTATTAACTGGGAAACAGAGCACCAAGTGAATGGTGGCCCCAAGGGGCTGGTTTTAACAGTGTTTTAGGGTGGGTTTTTTGGGGGGGGGGCACACCCAGAAATGCTCAGGGCTTACTCTTTGCTCTCCACTTAGAGATCAATCCTGGCAGGAATGGGGTGGGTGAGGGTGACACAGGGACCATATGTAGTGCCAGGAGTTGAACCTGGTTAGGCTGCGTCCAAGCAGAGAGCCTACCTGCAGTACTAGCACTCTAGTCCCTTGCCAGTATCTTTTTTTTTGGGGGGGTCACACCCGGCAATGCACAGGGGTTACTCCTGGCTCATGGACTCAGGAATTACTCCTAGTGATGCTCGGGGGACCATATGGGATGCTGGGAATCCAACTTGGGTTGGCCGCTGCAAGGAAAACACCTTACCTGCTGTTCTATCGCTCTTGCCTCTTGCCTTTTAACCTAAAATCAGATCCAAAATTTTTTGGGTATGTTTCCATTTATTGTAGAAGGTTAAAATTTAGAAGGTTTTTTAATCTGTTATTCAGGGGGATTTTAACATTTTCTTTTTCTGATTTTTCTGGAAAAGAATATTTTAGTAGTATAAAATGTTCTTTACTTTCCAGATTAACATTTGGCAAATAAAAAACTAGCGAAAATGAAGAAACACTCATTTAATAACATTGTCCAGACATACTAAACCTTTGTTGTATAATAGGGACAGAATTACCTTACCCTCTTGGTGTTTTTACAAGGAATATATACACCTGTTTGTTTGAGTGGTCTGTCTAGTAAATTATATAAAAGGGCCAAGAAGCTAGCTTCAGGTGGTGAAGGCCTGAGTTCAGGTCCCACACAGAAGCACTGAGTATTGCCAGAAGTGGCTCCCAAGACTCTGAGCACTGCTGAAACATTCATATATTTTTTTAAAAGGTATGTAAGAATCTAGAATAAGAAATGAGAAGAAGAAAATGAGTATCTTGGGGCCCCCATATGGGAGGATATTTAGTTCTCACTCTGTATGATTTTTCACCTTTTGAGTTTTATATCATGTACATTTGCTACATAATTTTTTTAAGGTTTTGGGGTCATACACAATGATGCTCGGGGGGCTCCTGGCTCTGTCTTCAGGATTCACTCCTGGCAGGTACAGGGAATCATATGGGATGTTGGGGATTGAACCCAGGTTGGCCATGTGCAAAGCAGTCATCCTACCTGCTGGTACTATTGCTCCAACCCTGTTACCTATTTAGAAAAGTAGTGCTAAAAAAAAAAAAATCGGGGCAGGAACAATGCTGGGAATCAAACACAGGACTTCACACATGTGAACCAAAAAGTAATGTTTTGTTGACAGATGATGTAAATAAAAAAATTGGGAACTTCTATATGTTCTATCATATAGACATAAATATCTTGCTATTGTTTAGGAGGCCATACCTTGCAGTACTGAGGGTTCACTGCTGGCTGTGTTCAAGGGACCATGTTGTGCCAGAAATTGAACCCAGTGCTCCTGTATGCAAAGAGTTACTTCAGCTTTTGAGCTATTTTCAGCTCTTGAGCTATCTCCATGACCTAGTATAGACTGTTTTATAAAATTGGAAATCCTGGGCCAGAGAGAGAATACAGGAGGGAAGGACTTACCTTGTGTGTCACAATCCTCCTCGTTCCCCGCTCCTCCCCCAGGGATCACTCTTGAGCATCACTGGGTGTGGCCAATCCCCCCTGCCCCCTCCCCCCCTCCCCGTGAAAGTCTTTGTTTGAATTTCTATATACAAGACACCCACAAAAAACACTTCTCGGTGAAGCAGCAGGGGAAGGGATGACTCTAGTCTCCCGCTGGAGCAGGGAACCCAGTGCTTGGCCAAATTTGACAAGAACCTTTAATGTAGAATGAACAATGACGTTTGTAATAGATTGCCCTGACCTTAAATCCTAGCTCCATTAGTTGCTATGTGACATGGGGAAAGTTGTTGAACCTCATTTGTAAAACAGCAATTAGGGCTAACACTACCTCCCAGGTTGCTGGACACTAGTGTCTGATCCAGTGGGACTTAGTGGAAACAGATTCCTTCACTCCCTTTTTCTGCACCTTGGCTTACAGTGTATCTGGAATGGCAATGAAGCATGGTAGAGGTGGCAACAGGCATATACTGTGAAAGTCAGAAATGATTTTTCAAGCTTTTGCCTCTTGGTTTGTTGGTTTGTTTTTGTAGGAGGATGTTTGATAGTGTTTTATTGGGGGGAGTAGAGTGGGGGCTGGGGGAATGGGAGTCAGTTTGGGTTATACCCAGCTGTGCTCAGGAATCAGGAGATGCTATTTGGTGTCAGGGTTCTGGTCTGGATGCTCTGGACATAAATAAATTGCAACTCCATCATCTGTTTGATAGCAGTTCATACTCATTCTGTGTCAAGTTGCTTTCAATTTAATTGATCTCTTAACCTAAAACTGTAATACAGCACTTGTTGGCTCTAATTCAACTGCAGGGTGCCAGAGTACTAAAAGAAAAGTTCTCTGTCATCTAGAAAATGTTTTCATGTTTGTTAAGTTATAAAGCATTAACAATTAAATTGTCTTTAATGTCAGAATGGATAATATTACTTATTCTCCTTATAGGCAATTTTAGTATAATTCAGCAAACCATAGGAGAATTTTATGTGGAAACTATTTGGAAATAAAAACAGGCAGAGGACTTCATGTGGTTTTTATATTTGTGTTTTGTATGTTTTTGGAGGCTTCACTTCTGTGTGGTCCAAGAAAAAATTCCTAGCCCCTATTTATTTTAAATTCCCACAGACTTTAGTTTTCAAGTCACTTAACTCTACCAGCACTCATTTTTGTGTAAGAACAAATTAACCAAGAATCTATGTTGGATCTTCCTGAGGCATGTTTTGGATAAATACAACATATAACAGTGAACTGGAAATGTGAACTCAGACTAAGAAATAGAAGAGAATTGATTACCGGGGAAAGAAGAGAATACTCACTCTGCATTTTCTATATCAAGAGAGGAATAGGATATTGTTTTCTTATAATAGGAGATCTAAACTTTATTTTTATTTGTATATTTTTTGGTATGGGGGCCATACCTGGCAGTTCTTAGGATTTACTTCTGACTTAGTGCTCACAGATCACTCCTGGTGGGCTCAGGGGCTCTGGGTTGTAGGGGTTAGAATAAGGTTGGTTGCATGCAAGGCAAACTCCCGTCCCACCATGCTATTGCTCCAGCCCCAGGGGAATGTGAATTTTAATGAACTGTTTTGGTTTGTGTTTGTAGAAAATACATATTCTCTCTTTCATGGGCCAGTCTCTCCTGTTGGGCCCAGGGGCCACTCCTAGTAGTGCACGTAGCCCCATCAAAATGTGGATTATTTTCACTTTCATTCTGAAATACCATTTTGTATTTAATTTTCCTGAAGTTGTTTACTTAAAATAACTATATTTTTTGAATGATCCCTGAATGCAATCATGATCCCTGAGCACAGCCCAGTGCGGCCAGAAACAGAAAACAAAATAAAACAGAGGCTGCCACAGTAGGACGCACTGCTTCTAAACTCAGCTATTCCTCGTTGTTGAGTTCTCACAATGGAATTTGTTTGACTGAATCTGAATCTGTTCCTGTAGTTATCTCCTTCATATGATAGTCCATACATCTTCCTTCTTAGCATTAAATTTCCTCCACTCACCCAACTCTCTCATTCTTCCCTCTTCTATTAATGTCCTTCCTTACATCTTCCTCATTCCTTCAGAATGTAAGTAGAAACTAAGAAACAAGTAAGGGATAAAGCAGAATTTTTTTGGCAGTATGGGAGATTGAACCCAAGATCTCATACTCAAGGCAAGCATTCTATGACTGAGGTATACCGAATCCCAAAGCAACTTCTCCATGCTTTTACAAAAAAATACATTTGAACAAATCCATGACAACTCTGCATAGTCATGACTAGAATTTCAGGTGACTAGTCTCTTATTTTTAAGTCACTATAGTTATTATTAAAATAATTTAAAAATTACTGTTATCTGAAGACAGACACTGAAATGACCTTTTCACAAAGTAGTACTGATAGGTTAGTAGTGATTTATAAGTAAATAATTAGAATTGATTTTCCTCAGTGCTTTTTCATTGCTCAGCCCCTTTCTAATCCTCACTGACTAAAGCCAGATGCTTATATCACTATCCCTGATTTACAGAATTGATCGGTCCTTGCACAACAGTTAGCATTGATTCTGCATGGAATATAAATCATCTTTCTGATTATTCCATAGCATTTTGAGTCTGTGGCCCTGCAGCATAATTTTAACCTATTTGAAAGGATTGTGCTAAATAAATATCTGCTGATAAAAGGAAGATAAAATCTGCCTAAGAAATGAAATAAAATTTGTAAGGAAGATTGAAGTAGTGTTGAATTTTAACTTGCTTGAAAAAAGTTAAAACAGATTATTCCTGGTTGTTCTCGGGGGACCATATGGAATTCTGGGGATCAAACCCAGGTCTCCCACGTGCAAGGCAAGCACCCTCCTCGCTGTGATATCTCTCCAGCCCACAGCCTCATTTTTATCAAAACAACATAACCCTATTATGAAATGATGAGGCACCTGAAGCTTCTGACTTAACTTAATCTTTCAAGGGGCCAGAGTGATAGTACAGCAGGTAGGGTGCTTGCGTTGTGCCTAGCTGACCTGGATTTGACCCCTCGCACTTATATGATAGCTTGAACCCACCAGGTATGATCCCTGAGTGCAGAGCCAGGAATAAGCCCTGAGCACTGCTGTGTGTGGCAAAAAAATAATAATAAATAAATAGTATTCATCTTTTATTAGGAATATACTTTGTAGAGATGGTTCTTTGAAAGTCAAAGATACTCTTTAAAAAATCAGAATGTTTCAGTTTGGGCTTAATTGATTTCCAAATTTGCTAGAGACATGGAGAATCATATGATCATAATGCATGATTCCACTTAGCACAAATGTTCTATGCTTGCATTGCATGAGCCAAACTTGGATTTGATTCCTGGCATCCCATATAATACCCCACCTCACCCCTCACCCCAGCCCCACCAGCAATAATTCCTGGGTGCAAAGCCAGGTGTGACCCACAAACTAAAAAAAATAGATTCAGATGAAAAATGACTTACCTTCCATGAGCATGAAATTATATTTATGGATCAGAAGTGATCTGGTGAGGATGCATTTAAATGTAGAACAGTTAGAATTCTGCAGGTGGTGGATCAGAGGGAGTAGAGGTGGTAAGGCCCTTTCCTTACAGCTGGCCTGAGCACTGCCAGATGTCCCTCAAAAACCTAAAATAACCCTTGGTGGCTTTTTGGGGGGTGGGAGGTGCAACCTTTGGCAGTACTGTCCCCATAGGCAGATTTGAACCTGGCTAGCAGGATGCAAGGCACAAACACCTTAAACCCCTTGTATTCTATCCAGCCCAGAATTCTCAGTGTTTTTAATTATCAGACCTTTTGGTTCAGTATTGTTAGAAAGATATTCTGTATTTTTATGCAGCAAGGATTCCCATTTGAAAGTTCTATTTCTGCATTTAAAGCAGTATTTTATCCATAATAATTCTGAGCTTTATGTGAACTCAGTTGATAAAGATGGAGTTTACTTTGGTAGATCATATACTGTATGACTGAATTTCTTTATCTGTTAAAAATATTAGGTGATGGGACCAGAGCAATAGTACAGCGGGTAGGGCGTTTGCCTTGCATGCGGCTGACCCAAGCTCAATCACCGGCATCCCATATGGTCTCCCAAGCACTGCCAGGAATAATTTCTAAGGGCAGAGCCAGGAGTAATCCCTGAGCATCCCTGGGTGTCACCCAAAAAGCAAACAGGAAAAAAAAACCTACAAATAATGTGATTGATGGGGGTTAAATTTATACAGACAAAGGAAGTGTTTTATTTTTAAAGTGATTGGTGTAGGGGCTGGAGCAATAGCCTTGCACGCGGCCAACCCCATTCGATTCCCAGCATCCCATATGGTCCCCCGAGCACCACCAGGAGTAATTCCCGAGTGCAGAGCCAGGAGTAACCCATGAGCATCGCCGGGTGTGACCCAAAAAGCCCAAAAAATAAATAATAAAGTGATTGGTGTATTAAAGTTAAATTTTCTAGTTCCAAGACTGTCAACATAGATTTTTTTTTTCTTAAAAAAAATTTTTTTGTTTTGGTGGCCACAGTCTGTGGTACTCAGGACTTACTACTGGTCTGCTCTCAGCATTTACTCCTGGTCAGGCTCAGGGAATGAAATAGGGTGCCAGGGATCTAAGATGGGTTGATATATTTTTCATAATTATCCTAAATGCAAGGCAAGCACTCTGTATTATCTGCTGTATTATCTCTCTTGCCCCAAATTTATCTTTCATATATATTGTATGTTCTAAAATATGTATTTAAATCTGTATTTTAAAGGAAATTTTAGCAAGTTACTTCATGCAAATTTTGATTTTTGTTCTCATAAATGGATATAATGACTAAAATTTTTTGTTGCCAACTTTTCGTGTTACTTGTTTTATAGCACTTGGGATTTTCAAAACATATTTTGACCCCAAATTATAATTTTATCTTTGCAGGCAAGAAGACAACAAGACCCTAGTCCTGGTTCCAATTTAGGCGGTGGTGATGACCTTAAACTTCGCTGATTCTCACAGTACATGTGTGCACTCCAACCCCCCCTTCCATCTTTATATTGTTAAATATACATTGTTTATAGTTGGCAGAAATTGATCAAAAAGACCAGAAACTGTGATAACTGGAGGTACTTCGATCTAATTCTCAACCTTGGGCAAATACAGGACATCACAAACTGCCATGGTTTTGCACTAAAATTATAATACTTGCATTCTAATTTTTATATGCATGTAGCCAGTAATGGAAATTTTTTTCTATGCAAGCTTATCTTAATGGCATTATTTTAGTGAAAATCATCCACTTAAAAGCTCTTTTTCACTCCATTTTTATTTAAAAGTTAATGTCTTTTAAAGACGAAAAATGAAAATTTTTTATCAGGATTTTTGCTAATCAGTTGCTCCCTTGTTTTGTAATCTTAAGGATTTTTTTTTGTGTTTTCTGTTTTTTATAGCTTCATTTAGTTAGGCATTCTTGGATTTTAATTTTGTTTTCTCCATTCCCTTTTGTGTTTTATAATCTGGCATTTTTAAACTGCTGAGTTTGCATTATTTACAAGTTTAAAAACCTAGTAGCATAGAGCTGTCTGCCACAGCCTTCTTATACAAAGTTTACAGTTGTTAAAGTTGCAGTATCCTTTTAAATGTTGATAATCAGCTCCTTTTCTTACCATTACAGAATTTTAATTGGTATTCTAATAAAAATCTGCCCCAGATCTGCTTTAGATTATGTTCTGTAATCATGAGTTTGTATGAAGTGATTCTCCAAAGATAAAAATATTCTACTGAAATGCCTAAAGAAGTCACAAGCTGGCTTCTGTTTTATTCAGGGATTTTTTTTTTTAAGTCAGTCAGAAAAAGGGATACTGGAACTTCTCGTATGTAACAGCATATTAAACTGGAGACAGTGATTAAATCAGCTACAAAGTTAATATTAAAATCATGTTTAAGATAGCTGCTTTTATGTGTATTTTATAATGCTTGCTTTTGTAAAAACAGTGCTGGATGATGAAAGATTAATCTTAGAGAAAATGTTCATCTCTACAGAGGATACATTTTCTTTCATTAATTCTGGAAAAAATTTCACAGTTATATATGTTATTTTCCAAAAAGACTATTAATAGAACCTTTTGAGATGAATTAGTATAAGAATATTTTTTAAATAGGCTCACTGTCAAATTTAATGCAACTTCTTTTTAGATAGAAGACTGGAAAAAAGTGCTAAGACACTTTGCACCTCCTTACAAATATTTTTCATGGCCACATTCATAAAATGTTAATGCATTTGTGAATTTTTGCAAAAATGTATTTTATCATAATAAAATGGTATTATTTTAAAGAGTTTAAAAAACTGATATGGTCAATCAGAAAATGAATTCTATAAGGTCATTGCATAAAACATCTAGATATAGATATATACACTTGAGGGAGGTTGACTTTCACTGTACATAGCTCTTATTCATAAATACATCCTGTATCTCAAATATGTTATATATTTGAAGTCATGCATGGTAAAGAGTGTGTTAAAATTGTTATAAAACAACAATGCATCTTAAAAGACCATGCTGATCTCCAATAAGTCAGTACTATGAATGAATCTGGTTGGTATTTGGTGTTGTGCAGCTCACATGTTTACACACTCAGTGCCCTAATTTCCCCTGAGGGAATCGCCTTTTAAGTGGTCCTTACAGTGGTGTTTTAAGGTTACTTTATTATAGAGCTCCTTGGTTTTTACTTCTGCACTTAAATTTTTTTTTTAAGTAAATGATAATGATGATGCATTTTCCTCTATTGTTTCTAGTTAAGGGCTTTCAGTCTACCAGTAACTAAGATCAAATGTTATTAAATGTTCATGTTCCATCCTGTAAATACTGATCTTTTCCTGTTGTTTAGTACTTGCTGCTTTTGTCTGTCTTAATGCTGGCATTAAGATCATATAGTGCAGGCTTTGAAAAATGACTTTTATTAAGTTATTGATGCAATTTGATATATTTCCATAATCTATATTTAAACAAAATTACATCATTGCATCATTTTTTTTCTAAATTCTTCTCCATTAAAAATTGCCTTAAGCTACTAGATTGCTTTGCCACCATTAGCCATATGTTTAATTTGCCTTCACAATAAACTTCTATGTAGTAAAAACATGGTTTTGACTCTTCATTGTGTAACCAAGAGTTCTTGTTCAAGTCCTGGTTATGACATGAAAATGCATTTTGTTGTTTCTTGTGTTTTTGATTTCTTGGTTTCTGGGTCACACTCAGCAGGGCTTACTTCTGCCTCTTTGCTCAGGTGTCTGTCACTCCATGCACTGCTGAAAGGACCACCTGCAGTGCCAGGGATTGAGCCTGGGTAGGCTGCATGCAAAGCCAGCATCTAACTCCCCTGTAATATCTTCTAGTCCCTGATTTTGTTGTTTGCTTACTGTGCTCTGCTTCTGCATTTTTCTTTTTAAATATAGGCCACATTTGGTGTTGCTTGTGGGGTGGGAAATCTGGCGTCACGGATGCTGGGTATGTGCTCTATATCAGTTGATCTCCCTCTCTTCCCCCAACTATGCTGTGGGTCTTTGGGTATGATTATTTTGGGTAGGATGGGGAGGGGTTTCCCATTTCGTTTTTTGGGCCACACCCGGTGATACTCGGGGGTTATTCCCAGCTCTGCACTCAGGAATTAAACCTGGCAGTGCTCAGGGGATCATATGGGATGCCTGAGATCACACTATGGTCAGCTAAGTGCAAGGCAAGCACCCTACCTGCTGTACTATCTCTCTGGTCCCTATTTTTTTATTTTTAAGAAAAATAGTTTCATTTTAAGAAAAATGAAAGAAACTTACTTAGATGTAGTAGAATTGTAGTAAAAACAAAAAAGAATAAAAGAAAAATTTCCTCACGTATAAAGAAAAGAAAATGAGGAATACATGTTCCAGAAAGAGCATGGGCTTCAGGTGTCTTTAGAATGGGAAAAATATCTGAAAAAGATGCACATTTCTCCACAGTGGAAAAAGCCTGATTATTCTGCTTAACCTTAAAAAAATATAATAAGCCAACAGTGGCATCTAGTGGTCATTTCTGCTAATTCCAAGGAAAACCTTCAATGCAGATAGCCAAAACGTTTATTTCCCGATATTCATTGATTTTTATTTATTTATTTTAAATCTGGTTTGTTAGCCAACTCCTGTTTGAAACCCAACACCACATATGGTCTGCCAAGCACTGCCAGATATGGACTGCTCCACCCCCCAAAATTTTAAGCTAATTATTTTAGAAATAGACAATTATGCTGGTGTTATTCAGATATCCTTGGCTCAGTTTGGTCTGTAATAACAAAAAATTATTTGCCAGACATCTATAAATAATATGACCTTAATGGCTGAATTGGTCCCAGCAAGTAGCATTCTAGAAAATGCTCATAGATTGAGGGTTAATTTCAAAAGCTATTTAAAGCCTGGAGAGAACTCATTGGGTTGGCGCACCTACTTTGCATGCAGAAGGCCTATGTCAATGTAAACACCATACTGTAGCCACTGAGCACCACCACATGACCCAAAAGTAAAGCCAAAATTTTCTTGAGCAGTAATTATGGTTTTGATAAGTCTCACCTGTAGAAATAGGTACCTGGTTATGCTAATTCTGGACTGCATGAGGAAAGGAATCTCTGTGCCTCACATGGCAATAGAAAGCTTTTTCAAGTTCTAAGTCATTGCATTAGCCATTGCTGTAGAACCTACTTCCCCAAAATTACCTATTTGAAAACAGGAACATCATTTCTGGGACGAGATCAATAAATAGTTCAGCAGATAAGGCACTTGCCTTGCAGTTGCCAACCCAAGTTCAGTCCCCAATATCTCATGGTACCCCAAAACCCACCAAGAGTGATCCCTGGATGCAGAACCAGGAGTAACACCTGAACACCACTTGAGTATGACCCAAAGACAAAAAATTTCTAAAAGGATTATCTATAAAATTTAAAAAGCATCTGTTGGGGTTGGAGCAATAGCACAGCAGGTAGGGCATTTTCCTTGCATGCAGCCAACCTGGGTTCAATTCCCAGCATCCCATATAGTCCCCTGAGCACCGCCAGGGGTAATTCCTGAGGACAGAGCCAAGAGTAATCCTGTGCATTGCCGGGTGTGACCCAAAAAAAGAATAAAATAAAAAGCATCTGTTTCTGTGGGTCAGATTAAGGAAAAGCTAAAGGTTCTTTGATCAAGGGTTCTCATGCGGCATGAGTCTCATTGTTTAGAGACTAGATTACAGTTACTTCAACTTGATTGTGAGAGCCAAAAAGTATGGGATTAAAGTTCTTGCATGCAGTCAACCGTAGTTTAATCCTCAGCACCACCCCAAGCATCACCAGGTGCTGCCCTGCAAGCTACTGGGCACCTCTGGATTGACCCAGGGTGATTCTTGAGAACTACAGCCTCAGACTAGCATTGAACTGTGGTCGGGAGGAAACCCCCAGACTTGAGCATGCTTGGGAGGTTCCCACCACCAGAGAAGACTATGGCCAAAGGACTCTTCTCCATGAATTCTTCTGACTGGTCTAAGTTGCTTAAAGACTTAGACAAAAACCTGGTTTTAACCGAGGTTTTGGGATGGACACCTTTATTTTCTTGCTACATGTGAGTTTTGGTAGTATAAGTCACAGATTGAAAGGTGGCTTCCCCCAGAAGAAGCTATCCAAGAAAGAATGCAGGGCTGGAGCAATAAAACAGCGGGTAGGGCATTTGCCTTGGGTGAGGCCGACCTTTTTTCAATCCCCCAAACACTGCCAGGAGTAATTCCTGAGTGCAAAACCAGGAATAAGTCCTAAGGATCGCAGTGGCCCAAAAGCAGAAAAAGGATGTATAAAATGAAAGCCTGTATCTATTCTTGCACTGCCATATTGTAAATGTGTGTTACTGACTGGATCCGGTCACACTGAAAGGAATGTTAAGCTCTCTCTTGATGGTGTGATGTCAAAGAATTAGAACTTTTTTGTTTTGGCATTACACCTGAGAGTACTCAGTAGATACTCCTGGCTCCGTGCTTGGAAAGCCCTGTGGGCCAGGGATCAAATGCAGGTCTTCTACGTGAAAAGTATACACACAGTCCTTAGTTGTCTCTCTGGCCCTGTCAACATAAGTCTTAAAATAATCATGACCATCTTTGAGAGAAATATACATGTATATATTGGGACCAGAGTGATAGTACCGCTGGTCGGATGCTGGTCGGGCATTTGCCTTGCTCACAACTGACCCCAGGTTCAATCCCCAGCATCCCATATCCCCCAGAGTTACACCAGGAATGATACCTGAATGCAGAACCAGGAGTAAGCCCTGAGCACCGCTGGGTGTGACCCCAAAACTTTTTTTTTTCTTCTTGGGTCACACCCAGCAATGCTCAGGGATTACTCCTGGCTCTGCGCTCAGAAATTACTCCTGGTGATGCTTGAGGGACTATATGGGGTGCCGGGTATCGAACCCAGGTCAGCTGCATGCAAGGCAAACGCCCTACCTGCTGTGCTATAGCTCCAGCCCCAAAAAAAAACTTTGGAAAAAAAAAAAGCTAAGAATCAAGAGAAGGTGTGTTTGCATTGGTCTTTGTAAAGAGACGTTCAAGTTGATGAGCAAATGGAGAATCCAAAGGAACATGGCCTAGGGGCCAGGGAGATGAGTCCAAGGACTAGAAGCATGAACTTTTTTTTTTCTTTTTGGTTCACATAGCGATGCACTGGGGTTACTCCTGACTCTGCACTCAGGAATTACTCCTGGCAGTGTTCAGGGGACCATATGGGATGCTGAGAATCGAACCTGGGTCGGCCGCATGCAAGGCATTTCTTACACAAGGACTTAGGAGTATGATCCCTGCATCACATGCTCCTACAGAACAGGCCTGGAACTATTACCCAGGAGTAGCCTCTGAGCACAGCTGGGTGTGGACCAAAAACAAAAACAAAATGAACAAAAGAAAACATGTTTAAACAGATCGCAGGAAGAAACCCAAGACAAATATAGGTGTGGTATTATTTAAGTAACCCCTATTTCTTGTCACAGGTGACTCTAATAATCGTGCTATTGTTGCAAAGCCAGTCCAAATCCAACAAATCAGAGCCCCCTCTCAGACTTGTTAGATGTAGGTGGGACCCCAGGTCCTCCCACACCAAACTAGATCAGTCTGGTAAGGGTTCAGTGATTCCAAGGCCACAGTGAAGGTGGGATGCCTTGGGCAAGGCATGTCTCAACAGTGTTTGGGCTGCCATAGGAAATGGGAGGAGACTAAAGCTTATTACTCAACCTCTTGACTTTGCAGAAGAGATATGAGTAGAAGACTTGCCAAGTACTGAATCCAGTGAGGCAGAACCCTGGAAAGATGCTGCAGTACAAACCTGGGTGTGTGCTGTCTCGTGGGTATCATACACCTCCTCATGCTTCTTCAAGTAGACAAAACCATGATAAATTTGGAAGTTCTGCTAGGAAACGTAGCTCCACTTCCAAATGTTTCAGTGAGGTTTTGCTGTTTATTTGCTCTGCTAGGGATCAAACCCAGACTTCGTATGTACAAGGCAAAGCACTCCACCACTAAGATTCATTCCTTACCCAACTTTTGCAGTCTTTATAGTCTTTGCCTCCACTCAATGCTTCATGTCTAGGATCGTGAGTTAGGTATCCTCCCTGTTTTTTTGTTGTTGTTTTTGGTTTGGTTTGTGGCCATACCTGACAATACTCAGTCGCTACTCCTGGCTCCAGGCTCAGAAATTACCCCTGGCGGTGCTCTGGGCGCCATATTGGGTGCTGGGGATTGTACCTGGGTTGACCGCATGCAAGGTGGTGTACTATCGCTCTGCTCCCTATGAAGACATTTTCAACAAAGATCACTCTTCCCCAACCTTAGAAATATTTTTCCCAGTTCCCTTTCCCACACCCTCTAGGCCAGCTGTCTAATATTTCCAAAGCTCTTCATTATTGTGTTTACCATGCTTGATAAGAGACAGATATGGTCCCTCTCCATCCCTGCCCAGATTGGTTATTTGTGACATTGTGTGTGCATGCGCTGCCAAATATCAAACCCAGGGCCTCACAACACAATTCAAGTGCTCTACTACTGAGGCATATTCCCAGCCCTGACAATTTCTTTTTTCCATATCCAGCAGCGTTC